TCTGGCCATTGTCCATTTGTATATTCCATCTCTCATGATCAATCAATATTTTTTGAATGAGTACATGAATATTTCATTTCAGTAAACCATCATTCCCTCCTCATCCATCTTCATGATAAAATTCTAATGTCTTAGGTTCTTTACCTTTCAACAAATTATGTTTCCCTTTCTTTTTTTTATTGCATTTTAGGTTTTGGGGTACATGTGAAGAACATGCAAGATTGTTGCATAGGTACACACATGGCAGTGTGATTTGCTGCCTTACTCCCCATCACCTATATCTGGTTTGCCTTTCTTAATGGGTAGAAAGGAAGCTTTTCCCTAGGTCTAAATATGCTGACTTCAAGAGAAAGCATATTTCTTTCCAACAAGAAATTGCTCAAGCTTTCACTCTTAACCACTATGCTACACCACCATCCTTAGATGAAACAGAGAATTGGGGGCATGTATTCTCTCATTTTTCACAATCCATTTTTATCACATATTCAGTTTGGCCTGCTTACCTTATTTACATTACCTGCCTCAGATGACAGACATTTGAGGTTGTCATTCTGGACTCTTATGTAAGTTTTTCCTTTAAAGTAAAGAAGCTGACCTTCCAAGCTAATTTATCCCACTTAATAACAGTAATAATAACATACCACCCACTCCAGAAAGGAAATCATGCAGATGAATGAAATAATGTTTGTACAGAGCTTGACACTCCATAAAATATTCTAATAACATGGTGTCTACACTTTGAAATGTTCAAATCCTATTTCAATAGAATTAAAAGCCAATGAAGAATAAAATGTGAATTGCTTGTCACACTTTTCCATAAAGGCGTGGGGTGATACTGATGCCATTAGACATTTAAAAGCTGGGTTTTAGCAAAGTTTCTGAAGAATCTGATTGGTTTGTGGGGGAGGAAATGATGGTGGTATTTATTTATATCCATTTATGTAGAAAAACAATGGGTTATAACATGAACCAAAAAAACACTTATGCAGCTAGATTCACAGAAATCTGTCTACTCATCTCCAAGGGAAAGTTTTGGCTAAGCAAGTTAATTTTGTCGTTAGACATTTGCATAGTAATTGTATTGAGTCTGAATGTGCATCTGCATGGAAAGCATGTTTTTTCAATCCTGTTCTTTGGACATGGATTAATATAGATCCTGGCAAGTCCTTAAATAATAGTTTATTGATATTGAATGCCTAATTACTTTACATTTAGATCTTTTATAACCTGATGCTTGAACCCCTAGTTTGGAGTATATTGCTGCTGCTTTTATTGGTGTTACCAGGTAATAGTCACCTGGCTTTTTCATACGGTCTTGGTTTGGAGGTAGTCTACTAAAGAATGCCCACATATAGTGTTTAAAATATTATTAAAGAGTGATAATTAAATGTGCCTGATATATAAGAAGCATGTCATATTGTTTAAACTAATGCTTTTATTGTGACTGTTGTGATGAAAACCTTGATCATGTAAATTACCTAAAAGGATTGTTACAAACTTTATGTGACCTCAGGTCATTGAAACCATTGGATGTGGTGACCAGCCATGGAGGCCACAACATTCTTCCCTTGCCTGTTGTATCCAAGGTCATTTTGCAAATCAACACTTTTCATGGGACAACCATCAGGGTTTCTAGAAATCGCCTGGAGTGATAAGCCAGAGTATTTTCAATGATGGGATTTCCTAAAATTAATGGTACAGGTGTCATTAAGTTACTGTATAATACCCTTCCCCAAAATTATGAATATCAATATAGGTTATGTGCCAACTTCAGTGGCAGTTTTTAGCTCAGAAACTATGAACTAATGTTTTATCTATCTGAACCAGTTTGGCCCCTGTGGATGGAAGATACATAGGCAGATTTAAGAACTTGTTTTTTTTTTTTTGTTAATTCAAAAATGATTCTACTAAACTCTAGATGAGAATCAAGTGGTGATAGAGGTATCAGCTGAGTGAGTTCTGTATTCTGGAACCTTCTTGAATCCTTCTTAGTAATTCATAACATTTTTCTAGACTTCATGGCTGCAGTTTCATATTGACATCATCCAGTATCACTCTAAAGGGACTCTAAAACTACCTTCCTGGCATTCATCTAAGAGCTGGGAAGCCATCCACTTACACCTGGCTTAGAATATCATTTTTAGAGACATGACCACAAGTCTGCTGACATTCAAGAGCATAGCTTAAGTGCATCCCACTCAGAGCTTTGTGAATTCTTGTAAATTAGGATGCCTATTCAAGGTTCAGTGGAAATACTCCCTCTTCTCAAGCATTTATCGAAACACAAGGTGAATACATCATCCACATGAACCACTGTTCAAAAATTTCTGTCCAAAAGAAGTTTTAATATATGCAAAGTCTCTGTGTGATGCCTGGCATATGGCCAACCGTGTAGGATGACGATGACGTTTATTACCGATTTCTTAGTGTTTATTTTGAATGTAAAGTTCTCTATGTTTTTTTCTAAAAGTTCCTCACTGTTTCCCTCACTCACCCACCTGCCTACATATTTACATATTTTACTTGGTTGTGACTGTTTGAAGAAAGCCCTTGGAGCTTTTTTCTAAAGCACCTTATTTAAGATGTTCAAGTACATAGGAATCAATGGGGACTCTTACTACTGTTCTGATTCTGTAGGTTGGGGTCAGAGAGTCTTCATTGCCAACTAGCTCCTAGGTGATAGAATTGGTGCTGAAAGCACACTTTGAGTGGCAAGTCTCTAGAGCAGTGCTATCTAATAGAACTTTCTGTGATGACGGAAATGCTTCATATCTGTGCCATCCAAACCAGTGGCCACTTGACAGATGTGGCTAATGAGTATTTGAAATGTGGCCAGTGCAACTGAGGAACTAAAATCTAATTTTATTTAATCAATCTAAATTTAAATAGATACTTACCTTATTTGACTATGCTAGGAGAATTGATTAATATCTTTATAGCTCCTTGGCTTTCCCCAGTCTTAAGAAAAAGAATCTGAAAGTTGAGGGCTCTGTGTTATCTCTAATTTTCCAGAATCTTTCATAGGGCTAAGAATATTATGTATGCATATTAATGACATTCCTATTAAGAGATCTAGTCTGCAGTTTTGGGGGAAGACTCATAGAACTGTCAAATAATAAAAAGATTTGACTTTGAAGCTATAAGACATGGTGGGTAGGTGGCTCAGATTCTACCACTTACAGGATAATTTCTGACAAGTTACTTAATCCCTCTAAGCATCAATTTCCCCATCTCAAAATAGCAATCATGATTATGGTAATGTAATACCTGTCTCACAGAGTTGCTGCGTTATGCACATAAAATTCCTGGCAAATTGTTTTTTTCAAGTGACATTTATCCTGCAAATGCTAGTTTTTGTCATTATTTCAGTATGAGTTTCTTTTTTCCCCTAATTATTGATATTTTGGTAAAACAATAGAGAAATTATGTCCCTGTGTGGACATAATTGCAATCTCATTGAGAGGTCAAGTACTAACACAAACTTCTGTGCAGTTTTGTATCATTTCTCATGTGCAGAATATAGTTTTGTTGGTCAAGGAGAAGGACTTCAGCATGTTACTTTGATTCTTTGCATTTCATATTATTTTATGTGGAAATAAACATAATGTTTTTTGCCTGATATTTTGTGTTGTTTGATTTAATTTCCTTATAAAAACGTGTCATAAATGTTTTGATAATTGTGATAGAAATTTCATAACTCTCATCTTAAAAATACCCCATTCCAATTTGCCAAATACATAATTTCCCCTTGTTTATAGCGATATAACAATCATATTTTCTCTTTTTTTTCCTGGGTATATTTGCTTTGAAATAGCTTTTTTGTGTTTCATACCTTTTGTTAATATATATATGCAAATATATGTGTAAATATGTAAATTATATGTGTATTTACACACACACACACACATATATATACATATATATTAACCAAAAGAATTTCCTACTTCATGAAAATAAAAATCACAATAGCTAACATTTGGCAAGTGTGCAAAGCGCCATTCTAGATACCTTACATGTGTAAAAACATCGAGTTTTCATTGAGGCTGAGTAAATCTTTAAGCTCTTTTACTGTCTGCTGTGGTGTTGAGTTCTGAAGATATTGATAGTCCTCTTATCACTAGTAATGACATGAAGTGCCATCCAATCACCTTTGTACAATCATAATTTATGTATAGGTTGTATTGGGAGCTTCACCATTTAAGCGTGATTAAGATAAATCAAAGCATTTCTGAAGAGAACAGATTGATTTTGTTTCTTAAACTATTTATAGCTTGTAAGGCAGCTGTCTGCTTTTGTATATTCTTAAACAAGCAATATAGACCTTGTTAAATAATTTAAGTGTTTTGTTTAAAGCTATTTTGCAGTAAACCCAACTTTCCATTTGCATTGATCTTTAAAGACATTTTACCTTCATTCTAGATTACATTTATAAGTAAACCAACCAATCTGGATAAATGTAAAAGCAGTCATATGTTAACAATCTCCCGAGACAGAATTGTTGCTGGGTATTTCTGAGTTTCTATGGAGGTAAATTAGTTTGAAGTTCAGATTGACCCTCTTACCATCTGAGCTCCATGCCTTGCCCAATGCTTCCCTCCACAATAAGGCTTAATTTTCCTAATCACCTCTCAGGCATGAGACACCAGGTGATCTATGGCCAGCCAATGAGCTAACAACAAGTAGAGAGAAACTCCTTTCATTAATAGAAAGGCAAAGCATTGTGAAGAGACCACCATTCTATGTTATTCCAACCTCAAATAAATAAGAATATATTTATTTATTTTATTCCAGTTTGTTCATTTATTATTTATTTATTTAGATGACGTCTCACTCCGTCAGCCAGGCTGGAGTGCAGTGGCACGATCTTAGCTCACTGCAACCTCCATCTGTCAGGTTCAGGCAATTCTCCTGCCTCAGCCTCCTGAGTAGCTGGGATTACAAGCGTGTGCCACCATGCCCAGCTAATTTTTGTATTTTTAGTAAAGATGAGGATTCACCATGTTGGTCAGGCTGGTCTCGAACTCCTGACCTTGTAATCCACCTGCCTTGGCTCCCAAGTGCTGGGATTACAAGCGTGAGCCGCAGTGCTCGGCCCTTATACACTCTGATTAAGAGACAATTCACTACACTGATTTTTTTCAGATTCATGCCCATTTGTCTTCTTAAAGTGAAGTTACTACCAATGCTCCAGGATTATCTAACCTAGTATAGAACAGAATATTAATGTGTGTGTGTGTGCGCATGTGTGCACGCGTGTGCTCATGCATGCTTTTAATTATATATTGAAGATATGCTAAAATATTTATAATGCCTATCAAAGACACAAAGAATAATAATAAAATAAGCAGCTTTCCCTATCTTAGAAGCCCTCTGCTACCCTTTTCTTATCCCTTCATTTTCTTTCCCACCAATGTAACGGCTGATATGAATTTTTCATTCACTTTTCTCATTCTTCTTTTACAGTCATACTACATACCAAGCACCTCTAAAGATATAGTTTAATTTTACACATTTTGGACTTCTTTAAAAAAAGAATCATACTGAAAAAATGAACTCATTGCATGTATTCTTATGAAACTTCATTTTTCATTCAATAATCCTACTTGAAATGTATTTATGGTGATGCAGCTCTATATTTGTCTCTTTTGCCAGGTTTAATTTTTCCCTTTTCTCCTTTGAACTAGCTTGAAATTATATACTTTACTCTTTTTTCTAATCTCTTGGTTACTCCAGAAATTTTGACATGTATACTTTAATTAAAATTTTTATGATTCTCTTAAATGATAAAATATGTTCAGCATTTTAGCTTCAGCCATTGTTGTCTAGTATTTAATTATATCTTCCTAAACCACACAAATTAGACATTTTTACTACAGTCAATGCTTACTGAAATTCACTCACATATTTATCAGTATTTTTTTTTTACCTCTCCTTCATGCATCTCTGACTTTGCATTTGGGATTATTTTCCTTTTGACTGGGGTTGGTTCTATAGGAATTCTTCTAGGGAAGATTGTTAAAGGTTTTCCATTTGTTTTAATGAAAAATGGCCTTTTGAAATCTTTTGTATTAAGATGGATTCACTGGGTTTTCAGTTCCAGGTTGACACTTGTTTTTCTTGGCACATTGGCAACAGTTTCTCCTATGGTCTAACATTCACTGTTGCTGTTGGGAAGTCATGGTAATTGTTATTCCTCTGGTTGCTTTTAATATTTTCATGTTGTATTGGGTGTTCTGAAATTTCACTAAGTCTCCAGGTGTAGATTTCTTTCTAAGTATCCTCCTCAGTATTTCCTGTGCTTCGTAAATCTGAGGTTTGAGGTAATCAGTTCTCAAGAACTTACAGCTGATTTCTACGTTGCCTCCCTCCCATTCATTCTGTTTTCCTTTTCTCAGTAGACTTTCCCACTCTGGCATGCCTCCCAACAACTTTCTCATGATTTCAACCTAGTTGTCTCATTGTGCTGCCTTTTAAATCACTTTTTCATAACTACCTTCTAGGTCAATAGTTTTTCCTTCAGCTAGTCTAATCTGCACTGCAGCTATGTTCCTTACAGATGTTTTATCATTAGATTAGACTAGCTGGCATAGGGCAGCAGGCATAGGCCGAGGTAAACAGGTATAGGGCAGCAGGCATAAACCGAGGTAAACAACCTGGATGACTTAGCAGGTTTGTGGTGCAAGTGCACAGCCCCATGTCTTATATAATCATAGCCATGTAGACATAACGTAGAAAAGCTCACCATCTAGCTTTCAGCCACTATTGTTTGTGTAATGTATAAAAGTAACACTGACCCTGTGTGAGAGCTGCTGAATAAAGCCATGTTTCATCTACCTGCTGTTTCTCAAGCATTCTTCTAGCTCCCTGCTTCATGTCCACCCACTCTCCTCAGCCCTCAACTGGGCTTGGAACCTGATCCTAAGCATGAAAACATCCACTGGTTTTTAATTTTAATTGTCATCTTTTTAATTCCTAGATTTTTTTCTGCTTTATTTTGAAATAGGTTTGGTCATTTTTAATAGTTACTTCTTCCTTAATCATATTATCATCCTTTTATTTATTTCCTGAAATGTGTTAGACATTCTTAGATAATTCCTATATCTAAAAGAATTATGAGTTGAAGTTGTTGTTTGCTATTTGTGCTCTTCTTATTCATGTTGACTTGTTATTTTATATATTATGCATTTTTATGGAACTTTCTTTTAAGTATTGTCTGAGAGCTGGGTTCATATCAAGGATGATTTTTGTTTGCTTCAAGTAGCTCTCCACAGGTGTAGAGGTGGGAAACCAACCAGTGACCAATAAATTCACACCCCAACTCCTTACAAAAATAGTATGAATGCAAGCCATAAACTCAAATACAGACCAGGTTGTGGATATGAAATCTCATGGGAGATTTTTTTTTTCCCCTTCACTTAGTTAGTGCTCAATTCATCAGGCAATTTCCCTTTTTGCTTTCTGGAAGAATTTATTTCCAGTTTCAGCTTATAGTGCTGTTCCAATTGTATAAGGTATCTCCAGTGAGAATCCCCACACTGGAAAGTCTTCAGATTTTGTCTCTCATTGGTCTAACCCCCACATCTGAAATCATACAAATGGAAGCTCATGGTTGCCAAGACCCGGCAGATATCTTCCAGGTGAAACCTGGAGTTGGTGTTAATGTCTCTTAAGGGTGTTTAGTTTGTTTTCATAGTTTTTTCAGCAGAATAGCTATGCAGGGAATCTAGGCTGGCATACTGTAATAAACAAACACATATGGCAGCTCTTTTTGCTATCCACAACAAAATACTAACAATTGAGCTTATAATCAGCTAAATCCAAATTCAGCAAGATTTTCTTCCCCATCTTTTACTTGTGCAGTTGTGTTTTGAATCCAGATTAAAGACTTTAAATTTAGTACTACTAAGTTTTTTTGTTTGTAGTTTTGACTTAGCTCAGTAAAACTTTTTGGATCTTAATTCTATCATTTAACAGACACAGTTTTCCCCAGTTTCATGTCATGCATACATTTGGTCATCACAACTTGAATGTTTTTACTATACCATTGTAAAAATGTTGAATAGGATAAGATAAAAGATACAGCCTCAATATCCCCCCTTAGGTAGAGACTCATGTATTGACTAGGTCTTCTGCTAGGAATACTTTCTTTTTCTTTTCTTTTTTAAAATTGTTTTTGAGCTACAATCTCCCTCTGTCACCCAGGCTAGAGTGCATTGGTGCAATCTCAGCTCACTGTAATCTCTGCCTCCTGGATTCAAGAGATTCTCATGACTTAGCCTCCCAAGTAGCTGAGATTACAGTTGTGTGCCACCATGCCCAACTAATTTTTTGTATTTTTAGTAGAAATGGGGTTTCACTGTGTTGGCCAGGCTGGTCTCAAACTCCTGGCCTCAAGTGATCTGCCTGTCTTGGCCTTCCAAAGTGCTGGGATTACAGGCATGAGCCGTCATGTCTGTCCGTATTTCTTTATTGTATCTTCAAGGACATATTTTGCCAAATACCTTCCTGAAGTCAATGCACATTATATTTATGATTTTTCTAGCCACAGAACTAGATCAGTTAACATGAATTTGACTTATAAATCCAATTCTGTGTTAATCAAAGGGCTCCATGGATAGCTACACCAGGTCATCATTTATCATCTCCTTTTATTCCTCACTGGGGTCATATGAAGATTCTGACTCAGAATTACATCCCTTGATGCCTTGCTAATAGTCAAGTTAAGCTATTATGGAATCGTGCCTATTTTACCTAATATTTGTGCAGCCTCTTTTCCTGAAGTCTATAATAAAGACTCTATGAACTGCCATGAACTCCATGGACAGTAGGTGTACAATGTTGTGTTTGAGTTTTTTCCCTTTTCCCCAGATGTCCAGGTAATCTGTACTGCATTTCTATAATGACATAGCAGCCAATATTTTCTCCTTTTGAGTATTTTCCAGGGTGCTTTCATTATCTTGGTTTTGGATTTTTATCAGAACATATGTCCTTGAACTTGCACACAAGAAAGACTTCCAGTGATTGACACATCCAAGCCTTCTTATTTAGTTTTGCTTCAACCCAACCACATTGCCTAATAGGAAACAGCCAGGCTCTACTGTCTGCACCATTGGGATGATTATAAAAATAATTTGACTAGAGTTCTCCTATTTATCGTTCAAATATATAAGTTTCTACATAGCAATATGAAATAATAAACCACTGCTATACACAGAATGTGGATAAATCTCTCAGAGATAATGTGGAGCAAATGAAACAAGTTAAGTCATGTGCAATAGACTGCTTACTCTGTTGTTCTGTTTATAGGAAGTTCAAGAACAAGTAAAACTAATAGACAGTTCTGGAAGTCAGAATAGAGTTTTCCCCTGGGATTGGGAAATACTGACAGGAAGAAGCATGCAGAAGACTATAGAGTAATGTTCTATATTTTGATCTAGGTAGTAGTTACAAGTCTGTATACATACATAAATATTCTTAAAGTTGTACATTTAATATGTGTGCATTTTACTATGTATATATTATACCTTAATAAAAAGAAAAATTCATTTAGGTTACAAGTGAGAATCATTTTAGTGCAGTACTTATATGCATATGGACTCGAGTTTTGGATATATAATCAGTTGATTACAATCAACATTTGACTGATTTTGGAAACTAAGTTTCCTCATCTGTAAAATGAATAATTTTCTGTAATAACTGTACATTCTTACTTTTTGTATAAGGCATAATGGAGTGATGCGTATAAGCCACTTACCATCATGACTTCCACAGTACATGTAAGTTTTAGTGTAATATCGTCCTGATTCAAAACATTCCCTGCTTTTTAAAACCTCCTGCTGTTTAGACAGATGACTGACATTATTCAGTACATCAAATGGTATGTTTTTTATTATTTTCTATTTGTGACTTGCTTAGCAATTATAATGGCAACTGACATTTATGTAACTCTCTATATTTAAAAACTACTTTTATATACATTATCTAATTATTCACAACAGTGCAATAAAAATGATATTAATTTTATCCTCATCTCGCCAACATAGAGCCTGAGATGCAGAGACCTGAAGTAACTTGCCAAAATGATACAGTAAGGAAATATTAGAGGGAGTCATAACTCAGCCATTTATCTTTAACTCTTCAAACTGAAGAGTACGTTTGAGTCACCTACAGAGGTAGTTACAAATTCAACCCCCTGGCCCCGTAGCATCTGATTCTGCAGGTTTGAGGTGGGTCTTTAGATTTGTGCATTTCCCAGGTGATGCTGACACTACTGTGCTATGGACCTCACTTTGAATAGCAAAACTTTACAGATGAATAAAGTGTGAACATCAGAAATGAGTTCTGCTTTCAAAGAGCTTGCATTTCTTTTTCCAGGAAACAGGACTGAAGTATGAAATAATAGGAACCCCCTAAAGTAATTTATAACCTAGAGACACACTCCTAGCTGGAAAGAAAGTTTGATAGCAGAAGAGAACTTAAGAACACTCAAATTATATATAGGAGAACAATGTATGCTTAGATATGCTAATTTTAATGGTGCTCGATGATTTATATGCCAAAATGTTAAAATGGTGGGAGGCCCCTAAATTAGTATTCTAATTCAAGTATCCTAGTGATGTTATTCTCACAAATTGTCATTTCATTATGTCGAGTAGTATTTTAGGATATTTTAACCATTGTTATTTAGGTCTCTGATTGACATAAAAATTAGTCCCAGTGCTGTAACCCCAGGTTTTTGTCAGTGTAACTCTCCTTAGTTTGAGCTTCTTTTTTAAAAAATGTACATATATGTACCCATAACCATTGTTACTAATTGAAGCTACTTGAAGAAAAGAGAAAACAGTGACCAAAATCCTTATAAAAATAAAAAGCTTTCCATTTTTTTCCAGCTTTCCTTTGTTTCACACCAGCCATTTACAAGAGTTTTAACAAGTAGCCAGTCACCTATTTTTTAAATAACAGCATTATTAAGATATAATTCACATACCATACAATTCACTTGTATGAAGTGTACAATTCTGTGAGTTTCAGTGTATTCATGGAGTTATGCAACCATCACTACAATGTAATTTTAGAACATTTTTGTTACTTCCAAAAGAAACCCTGTACCCATTAATAGCCACTCCTCATTTGTCAATTCACTCTGCCCTTTGCAACTGCTAATCTACTTTCTGTCTCCATGGATTTGCGTATTCCAGACATTTCATAGAAATGAAATCACAAAATATGTGGTCTTTTGTGACCAGCTTCTCTTACACAGAATAACGTTTTGAGGTCCATCCATGTTGTAAAATTGATCCATTTTTTATTCCATTTTATGGTCAAATAGTATTCAATTGAATGAATACACCACATTTCATCTATTTGTTCATCAGTTGATGGACATTTCAGCCATTTCCATGCTTTGGCTATATGAGTAAGAATACATTCATATATAAGCTTTTGTGTGGACAAATGTTTTCATGTATCTTTCTTTGTTTTATATCCAGGAGTAGAATTCCTGGGTCATATGGAAACTATGTTTAAACCATAAGAAACTGAAAGTTTTCCTAAAGAGTTGTGTCATTTTACATTCCCACCAGCAGTGTATAATGGTTCCTGGTTCTCCACATTCTCACCAGCTCTTGTTAATATTTGTCTTTTCGTTTATGGTAGTGGGTGTGAAATGGTAGCTCACTGTGGTTTTGACATGTATTTCCCTAATCCTAGTGATACTGAGCTTCTTTGCTCAGTCAGGTACACCAACCAACCAATCCTGTATTCGGTGCATATGTATTTGGGACAGTTAGCTCTTCTTGTTGCATTGATCCCTTTACCATTATGTAATGCCCTTCTTTGTCTTTTTTGATCTTTGTTGACTTAAAGTCTGTTTTCTCAGAGACTAAGATTGCAAAGCCCACTTTGTTTTGCTTTCCATTGCTCGGTAAATCTTCCTCCGTCCCCTTATTTTGAGCCTATTTGTGTCTGTGCGCATGAGATGGGTCTCCTGAAATAGCACACTGGTAGATCTTGACTCTTTATCCTATTTGCCAGTCTGTGTCTTTTAATTGGGGCATTTAGCCCATTTATATTTAAGGTTGATGCTGTTATGTGTGAATTTGATTCTGTCATGCTGATGCTAGCTGGTTATTTTGCCCATTAGTTGATGCAGTTTCTTCACAGTGTCGATGGTCTTTACAGTTTGGTATGTTTTTACAGTGGCTGGTACTGGACTTTTATTTCCATGTTTAGTGCTTCCTTCAGGAGCTCTTGTAAGGCAGGCTGGTGGTGACAAAATCTCTCAGCAT